GCACAGGTGGCCCCAGCACAGGTGACCCCGGTCGCGGTGGACCCCAGCACAGGTGGCCCCGGCCGCGGTGGCCCCCAGCACAGGTGGCCCCAGCATAGGTGGCCCCGGCCGCGGTGGCCCCAGCACAGGTGGCCCCAGCACAGGTGGCCCCGGCCGCGGTGGCTGTCGCCGGACGCGATCGCGCTCCTCTCCCCTTCCTTCTCCTGCACCCTCCCAGAAAGGCTCGCTCTAACACCCGCTGGAGGGCGGGGAGCCTGTCAACGCTCAGAACCCCCTTCCAACACCCAGAGCATACTTCACCACCTCCAGATCCCGGGATCCGGAAAACAACACGCAAGCCCGGCCCCGCGCGCCACAGCAGGACGAGCCTCCGACCGCCTCCTCCTCCACCGCCTCACCCGCGGACCGCGGAGCGGGGAGGGGCGGGGCGCCGACGGGAAGAACCCCAGTGCGACTGCGCGGCCGGAGTGGGCGGGCCCGCGGCGGCCTCGGGGGCGGGGGTGGGCGTGGCCTGTCGTCCTGACAACCCGGGATGTTTACACACACAGCAGAGCTCCGATTTTGCTGAGTGAGAAGGTCGCGCTTTGCCTCTTCATGGTGAGAGGGGAAGATGAAAGAGACTGGTGAAGGGATGTGAACTAATTCTGGCTCCCCGGTGTTGCAGGCTGTAATAAGAATCTTTAGTACTGTAGAGGGGATCTGTTTAGGAAAAACCTCCTAACTCGGTTTCTGCGAGCGGGAGATGGCCAGCATGGTAATGCGGTGTTCTAACTCCCCAGACCATAAGCCTGGTCTTAAGCTAGTACCTTCTTATAATGATAGATGATCCCGCTGAACTGCGCTCTTCTTGCAACTTGGCGCAAAGGTTTTATACCTCCTTGCAGCTAATTAAAAATAGACATAACTTTCCCTGCTTTAAAAAGTTATTTTGTGTGGTGTTTCCTAGAAATGCGGATTGTTTTGTGATGCAAAGTACTCAGCTTGCCTTAAATATGGTAAAGCTTGTTTGGCTTTTCTGCCCTCAACTGTCACCTCTTCAGGGAGAGAAACCAGATGTAGCTTGAGATGATCTCTTTCCCCGTTGTCTGAAATGTGATTTCCATCAAGAGATCTTTATGATTAAAGTCAGAGGCAGTAGAGAATGTAATTACTTATTCGATTATTTGGTGGATTAATTAAGGGAGCGTGGAGAATGCATTCTTGGTATTTGGTTCTGGGCTGCAAGCCAAAGATACAAAGATGCATGCGACAGTGTTCTGTGGGAGATTAAGCAAATTAACTGCGAGACACTTTTATAACTGTCACAAGTGAAGGAGCTAGTGCGGAATAACCCAAAGTTGGAGATGCTTACACTGGGGAGGAACACAGAGGAAGTGGTGCTTTTCAGCTTGTTTTAAAACACAAATATGCATTTACCACAGTGGTGGGAAACAGTGGTGTGTATTCCTGGAAGAATGCAAATGGAACGTGAGCCAGTGTAAAACTACTGACAAATTATGACAGCTTGTTCCTTTTTGAACGCGGATTCGAGTTTCCTCTTCCTAGATCCTTCTGGAAATGTTCTCTAACTGCGGCCCCTCGAACGTCCGTTCCACACACGGAGTACTTCTTAAAGCTGCAGATGCCTGGAGCCAAGCTCCACATGTGTTGTGTTGGTTTTCTGGGGCTGACGAGTAACCGAGTACCACAGTAGAGATGTTCTGTCCAGGGGCCTGTGAGAAAATTCAGCGAACCGAGTGCCGGCTTATGCAAGCGCAGGGACCCTGGTTCAGTCCCCAGTCCTGTATGCCCCGCCAGCCCTGCCCTGTCCCTGGGTACGCTGAGCCAGCCACTGAGTCTGGGCGTGGTGGAGCCCATCTGTAATCCCAGCGCTGGAGAGGCTGAAAACAGGAGGATCACTACGAGTGTGAGCTGTTTCGTGAGACCCTGTACAAAATACATATTTTTTAAAAATCATATTGTCTCACCGTATAGGGACTGAAAATGCAAATTCAAGGTGTCAGCAGGGCAACGCTTCCTCTAAAGTGCATGGGGGGAGGGGGTATTTGACTTCTCTCCCAGTTTCTAATAATTCCTTGGTTTGGAGCAGCATAGCCACGTGTCTATGTCCATATTTCCTCTTTTTATAAGGATACAAGTCATATATATTAGTTTACAGACCTACTCTTTTCTAGTATGGCCTTATCTCTAATTAAATCAGTGATGACCCTATTTCCAAGTAGACTGAATTCTGAAATGCTAGGAGTTAGGACTTCCGGATATGAAATTTAAAAGGATTCGGTTCAACCTATCACATCTACTAAATCATAAGGTGGGAAGGGAAGTGAGTACATAGATTTTTTAGTCCAAGAACATATATTTCTAAGAAAGATAACGACTACATGACGCCAATGCCAACTACTTTGGTGCATAATGGCTTTTCTTATATACAGAAAAGAGATGTGTTTGTCCTTAACTGGAGAGATGACAACATACCCACATTTAAAGTATGGTTACTTGGACCGGGGAGATGGCTCAGTAGAATAAGCACTTCCCTGGCAAGCACAAGGGTTTGAGTTCAATCCCCAGTTCCGCCAATAAAATAAAAGAAGGTTACTTGAATCTCAGCACAGTACTATTTACCGATCCTGTGCTATATGCTATTTATTTCAAGCGGACATAGTTTGTTAAGTATTAATAGTGCTTAACATAAATAATAAAATAAAAATTGATGACATTTGTGAAACTCGTAAAAGCTGTCACTTTTACTTATAATATCTCCAGCACCTCAGATGGCCTTATGTGTCAATCATTAATAAACATCTGCTGAATAAATTAGTAAGCTATATGCACATCTCAAGATGCAATTGTTAATATATCTGAATGCTAACATCTGCATTATATGATGATTAATTTATAGCTTGAACCAATTATTTCCCATGTATAGCTCTTCAAGTATGTAAAGTATATAATCTTACAGTCAAATGATCTATAAATTCCTTACCAGAAGCCTGGCTGGCATATGGCCCTAATCAGAAAATTTTACTAGTAGCACTAGTAAAAAGTCCTTGCAATTATAAATCTTTATTGAAATACTGTGCTTTCCAAATGATTTCTAGAACACATCTGCTTTAAAACACATTACTGGGGGACTGGGGAGATGGCTCAGTGGAATAAGTGCTTGCCTGGCAAGCTCAAGGGCCTGAGTTCAATCCCCGGTTCTGGGAAAAAAAAAAACAAAACACACACACACACATTACTGGGCCGGCCAAATAGCTCAGCGGCTTAAAGCACCTGCAAGCAGGCACAGGGGTCAGTGGTTCGATACCCAGGCCTGCTGTGCCAGCCCCATGCTGAGACGGTAATTGAGACTGGGAGTGGTGGTGCACCCCTGTAATCCCAGCTCTTAAGAGGCTGTAAACAGGCTAATCACTACTAGTTTGATCTAGTAGTGAGACCCTGAACACCCTTCCCTAAAAACACAAAAAAGAAAACCACATTACTGAAAATACAATTAAACTTTTCCATATCTTGCCAGCTTTACATGACTAGTTCCCATTCTATAAAAAGTCATCAGTTTTATTTTACAGAAAAGTTATTTCTTTATAATGTGAGGTGATTTGCACACTTTGAAGTTCCGTATCTGTGCCAATAGTCAATAATTTATTGTTCTTTGGAATTTTTCCTTTATGTTTTGTTTTATCTTTGAAACAGGGTCTCATTACATTGTTCAGCCTGGCCTTGAACTTACTACATAGCCGAGATTGGCCTTGAACTCACAGTGGTCCTACAATCTCCCTGCATGCTGAGATTACAGGTGTACGCCACTGTGTCCAGTTCTTTGGGGACCTTTTAAGCTAGTACTTTTTGGTATTATTTAGGGACAGGGCATTACATTAAATATAGATCTGTGATTGATTGTCTAACAAACAGTATGAAATCCACTCTTCAAAGATACTTCAGTGGGTGAAACTTTAGCTTTTTCTACATGTGCTTATAGTTTTGTGTGAATTCTTTTTCAAACAGATTTTTAAATGTAGGATTACTTTGGATTTACAGAAAAGTTACAAAGATGGTATAGAGAGTTCTTTTATGCTTTTACCCAGCTTCTCCTAACTAACACTTACATAATCATGGTAATTTGTTGAAAGTATTTGAATTCTTTTTAAAATGTATCAATTCTTTTCCCCCTCAACTTTTAGGGTTCCAGAGAAAAAAAGGTATGTAGAAATTATTTTCTCAAAATAATCTTATGAACACATTGTTTGAACAGAATTATCGTGGAATTTTTTGATAGTTTTCTAATTGGATTATAGGATATATAGTTTACTAAATATACTTTTTAGACATTAATGCTACTTAAATCATAGGATAATCCTTTACAACTACAGAAATGTATCAAATTTGACATATTTTAAGTTACACAAGAACACTTAAATCTAGCTATTAAATTTTTTAGGTTTATTGGTACATTTTAGATATACATAATGATCATATTCATCATTGTACATGATGTAGCTTGATTTCTCTGTTTTTTTTTAAATTTCTTTCTCCTCCCTTCAACCCATCTTCCCCTCCCTATTTGCAAGGCAATGTTTCCATTTTATCCTTTTTTTTTTTTAAGGGAGGAAGGAAAAAAAAGTGATTTTTTTTAAAGAAGCCATTAAATTTTACCAGTATCTATATTTGAGGATTTTTGTTATTTCTGCCATAGGAGATCTTGGATTAAGAACATCTTTTTTTTTTTTTTTTTTTTTTTTCAAGATTAAAAATTTACCTAGAGGGCTGGGAAGATAGTTCAGTAGTCCAAGCACCTGGCTGGTTCAATCCCCAGTACTGCATGCCATGCCAGTCCCAGATCCCTGGGCACACTGAGCTGGCCGCTGAAACAGGGCATGGTGGCACATGCCTGTAATCTCAGTGCTGGGGAGGCTGAGACAGGAGGATCACTGTGAGTCTGAGCTGCGTGAGTATGAGACCCCCATACCAAATAAATAAAATCAATGAATCTTAAACAACAACAAAAATTTACCTAGAAACCTTGCTATGACTTCAAAAGTGAACTCTAAGTTAATATGAATTTAACAGTTAGCACATGCATCTCGAACTCACTTTGCCGCCCAGGCTGGCCTACTTGCAGTGATCCTCCTGCCTCAGCCTACCGAGTGCTGGGATTCCAGGCATGTGCCACCATACCTACCCTGTAGATTCATAGTTTAAGATAGAGTTTATAATCTCTTGACTAGTGGGCCAGGTTGAGCCAACATATTTTGCTTGATAGAAAAGTTGTTTTCCTTCTTTATAAAAATCAGTTACAGACTATTTAAATGCAAAAAAAAAAATCAGATTGTCAGATATTCTTGAAATATTGGAATTCTAATAGCATGTTTTTCTCAGATGACTGGGCTCAGTGGCAGCTACCCTGAAAAAGTCTTCTTTTTGTCAATGTTCTGACCATAAGCAAACCCCATACAGCATTTACCTTCCTGGTCTGACAGGAACTTGGGTTTGGAGTTAGTGATTTAAGGCTTATCTCGAAGGCCATTTCTTTGTAAAATAATCCACCACTGTCTCTTACAAAATCACTTATAGTCCTTTTCTAAATCTGTAAGTTCTCCATCCATGAAGTCTACCAACCACAGACTAAAAATCCATTTTAAAAAAAGAATTGTAACTATAAATAGCATTAGATACTGTATGTGTTCAAAGCTAGAAGACAGGGCATTGAATATTTTCACCATGAAGAAATGATAAATGGTTTGGGAAGAACTGTCTTCACTGTCATAACAGGTACAAGCTTTATTTCTTGTCATTGTTTAACACAGTTTAACAACTCTATGCATAGTATTTGCATTTTATTACCTATCATAAGTGACCTAGTGATGACCTAAAGTATATAAGAACATTGATGTCAATTATAGACAGTTCTGTGCTGTCCTACGTAAGAGCCTTGAGCATCTGTCATTTTGATAGCCAGGGGATCCTCTCGCCAATACCAAGGGGCAACTGTACACTCAGTTCTCCTGTATTCATAGCTGCAAACCCTTCAAGCTCAGGAGCACGCCATTTACTCTTACACCTATTGCATTTCACACCATGCCTTGCCCATAGTAAAATTCGGTCAATATTTGTTGAACAAATATGTGAAACTCCACTTAATCCACTGATGCTTAAAAAAACGTGTGGCTCTTGACTCCTTAGAAGAAATGCTTCTGTAAAGATGTTTCAATATTTATACAATTAAATATTTATTTAAGGAATGTGTTCTTTGCCTTCCATGTTGGATCAGTCACTTATGCTCCCTACGAACCTGAAACTCTCAGAGGCTGTGAATATAACTGAAAAAAAAATTATTGGTGGCACGCGCCTGTAATGGTGGCGTGCTTGTAATCCCAACTCTTGGAAGGCTGTAAACGGGCAGATCGCTACAAGCCTGATATAGTAGTGAGACCCCGAACACCCGTAGACCCTTCCCTAAAAAAATACAAAAAAAAAAAATTATTAAGGCTCTGCAAGCATTGTTAAGGGGGTGGCATTCTGGAGGGTCTGCTGTGTTGTGTTGTTCACGGGTTGAGGCCGGCATGCATTTCTTATTTACTGTGTTTTTGGAGTCGGAGTCTGGCTTTACACAACAATCCTCTTGCCTTAGCCTCCCGGGTCCTGGGATTATAGATATGCACCACCAAGCATATAATACTTTGTAGCCAAGTAGGTGGAGGATTTATATTTTTTCTGGGTGGGATAGGTAGCCCAGGAAAGTTTTAAGTAGAAGAGTGACATGACCTGATTACATGTTTGTTTTGTTTTTCACTTGTGTTTGTTTTTGTGTTTATATTTGGGGGCCAGTAGTGAGTATCCCACCCAACTCTTTAAGCTGAACTGCGTCCCCAGCCCTTTATATTTTCTATTTTGAGACAAGGTCCTGCTAAATCACTAACTTGCCCAGGCAGGGCTCAGATTTGCAGTCCTGCCTCAGCCTCCTGGAGTTCTGAAATTAGAGGTGAAATTACATTTTCAAAAGGCTCAGTATGGCTACCATATGGACAATTCACTTAAGAAAGGAAGAGTGAAGGGAAGAGGACCCTTGAGGGAACCACTACAGCAGTCAAGGGCAGAAGACCTCAAACTGAAGTAAACTTTCAGACCTACCCTTTTCTTGAAGCACTACTAGATGTATGCAGAGATTTCCTAAGGATGCAAAGACAGAGAATGTTATGGAAATCATCCACTTCCTTATTTACTGGTTTCTAAGAAAATATACTGTCCCAAAGTTCTGCATGTCTACCACTGCATCTTCCTCTTTCATAACCACCCTTCTACTTTAAAAACAAAAACTAACAGAAAAAAAAAAAATAGCCACTCTAACCTTGTTCTTGTGTTTGTGGCCCTGGGAACAGAGCCCCTCTAGAGCTCTGTGTTTGCTAGGCAAGGGCTCTGCCACTACTCACTACTTCCCCCACCCTTTGAATTTCATTTTGAGACAGTCTCAGACTTGTGGTCCTCCTGCCTCAGCCTCCAGAGTAGCCGGTATTACCAGGAAAAGCCACCAACCCAGCTGCAAAAAGGCTTTTGCTTTTCTTCTCTTTTCTTTTGTCCTTTCTAAATCTTACTGTGTTTTGTTGTCCTGGGATCTGCAGTGTGAAACCAACAGACCCTTCAGAACATCCATGTTGGCAAAGCTTTCCTGAATCAAAGCACCAAGGACTTTGTGTTCCTGTCTTGGCTTAGTCTCTGTAAGTGGTGACACGTGCCAACAAAAGTATCAAGATGTTCTTAGGTCATAACTACAGTAGTGCAAGGGCCGGCCAACTAGCTCAGTGGATTAAAGCACCTGCAAGCAGACACAAGGGCCAGGGGTTCAATTCCTGGGCCTGCTGTGCTGGCCCTGCCTGCGGGATGTGCTGAGACAGCAATTGAGACTGGGTGTGGTGGCGCACGCCTGTAATCCCAGCATTTGGGAGGCTGTTAACAGGAGAATCACTACGAGTCCAATTTAGTAGTAAGACCCTGAACACCCTGTAGACCCTTCCCTAAAATACAAATAAATAAATGAATCTGTGCAGTGCAATGAGAATGCAGCAATATTTGTTTACAGATGTTACTCAGGAGAGTATTACTAAACGGTAGCACAAAAATCTCTCACTATGCAACTTGTTAATAAAACATCCAGACTCCAAAAGTGAATCGATTTTGTAGTAAACTTTGCATACTTTATTTGATTCGATTAACAGTGTTACCCAAGTCCTCCTCCCAGGCATGGAGCTGTTACCAGCGGGCAGCAGGAAGGCCTCATTGCCTTTGCTTTTATTTTAAATCTATTTTAATGTAAGAACACTTTGTTTCCAAAAAAGCATTGCTTGCCAAAAATTTCTATAGCACATTCAATGTTTGTGGGTTTTTTTGTTTGTTTGTTTTTGTTTTTTTGGTACCAGGGATTGAACTCAGGACCTTGTACTTGCCAGGCAGGTGCATACACCACTGAGCTATCTTCCTGGCCCTACCACATTCAATGTTGACACTAAAATGTAAATGGCATTAAGTGTAGGATGTGGAGTGTTTGATTGTTTGATCGATTGATTTCAAAGTGCCAAGCATTCAACCCTGGGGCCTCATGCATGCTAAAAAAAGCACTCAACCTCCCAGTTATATCCCTGGCCCTAAAATTACATTTTTAAAATGGCAATGTATAAAGAATCAACTCTTACTTGATTCATAATCAAATAAGATAGTGTATCACAAGAATGTTGATTAACACACTGCACCAAAAAATGGGGACAGGGGCCGGGGAGATGGCTCAGTGGATTAAGCGCTTCGCTGGCAAGCGCAAGGGCCTGAGTTCAATCCCCGGTTCCGCAAAAATAAAATAAAATAAATGGGGACAGTGTATGAGGGAAAGTGACCCTGGTGTTGCCGTTCAAGTCTGAAGACTTGGCACTCTCATAGGTAAATAGCAGACATTTTTTAATGCTTTGAGCTAAATCTTGTAAGCTTTTGATTAAAATGATAAGATAAAAAATAACATTTTGATTTTTCCTCTTTTAATTTGTTAAACTTAAGAGTTTTGGGACTACTCTTTCTAACAAAAAAAAAAAAACTGATTACATCAGCATAGGTCAAAACCATCATCTTCAAAATATTTAATAGGGGATTATCAAGAAAAAATCTGAGTGATGATAGGAACCAAACAAGTAATGGATGTACTAGACCTGTTTTGTTTTGC